AAAATGGAGTAGTATTCCGCCATTGCTTTGCTAATGTTAATCAATTAATCTGTCGAGTACGGAGAGACTGCAGTGGCAGAATGAAGAAGGCGGAAAAGGCAACCCAGCCACAGTACACACTACTGCGCCTCGGCAGCTGAGCCACACCTAGTCGGGCCTTCCATCGCAGTAACTTACGTACTACACATCGTACTGTACATGCATTACTGTACCTCTCGGTAAGCGGACGGACCCTCCTCCCTCCTCTACCTTCCTCCAAGCTTCATTTCCCCGTCTGAGCAACCTGCATCGTCGATCCAGCTCGCATCATTCAGATAGCCAAGAACTGGAAAAGCCACTGCCTCAGCCGCACAAAGGCAATCTCACCAGTCACCTACGGAGTACAGTGCCTACTGTATGTACTGTACAGTATGGAGTACTACTCATGTATGTACGGAGTACTCAGTTATCGATATCTTCCCGTCTTGGAACGAACTTCGCACATCTTCTTCCAGGGCGATTCTATTGATCGTTTTTGTAAACACACGAGGCTCTCTTCTTTGAAATGCTTGAACCTCCGACCACTCAATCAATTCATCTCCTTACTACCCCTCTGGCTACTTATTCGCCCTATCTTCTAACTATTTTCGTTCCTAGGAGAAATGACAACAATGACGTCAACGAAGCCGGTGTGGCTGTCTTATCACCAGAACTAGCTACAAGCTAGCCTCCACCAAACCCCGGGTCTTCTCTGCTCTGGAGACAAGCTACCTACCCACTTGGCAATACTCGCTTTATTGAGTCGGAGCGCCAAGGCACACAACTTCTCCGTTCACTGCCGAACTCCTTACAACGGCGCTGGTGCATCAAGTTCCTTGATTCTTCCCGACCGCTTCGGAAATGCATATGCATGGTCAGCTGATGCTGCCAACAAGCCCAGACTAATGGCATACAGAAGAAGTTGTCTACCGCTCTTTGACCGATCCGCCTCTTGCAGAACTAAAGCAGACACCGGTCAAGGTTAACGCAATCGTCTTCATAACACCTGTCCGCTGCAGTCGCCGTGATGCTGCTCCGATCTCTGAGGAGAACCAGGTGAGATGTCCTGAAAATTGGTGACCCAACTGAGAGCCCCTGCAGCACGGGCCTGTGTGTTGCAAGGAGTCGGGAGCGGATAATTCAACCGTGCAAGGGTTCCTGCGGTGATTTAACTGATTCGAATCTACTGATATCGTTGCCGCCAAGGCCGTGGTAGATCTTGCTTTAAATGATCAACATCTTCTTCATTGAAAACTTGAGTACGGAGTAAGAGCAGCCAATATATTGGAATCTGGTTAAGCCAGTACTCATGGACTACGTTCTTCCGTTCCGAATGCGGAGAAATCGGCTGAACTGGAGATCATTCAAGGAACAGATGCAGAAGAAAGAATTATCAACGGCCGACCCCACTGACTGAAATCCTTTAGTTCCGAGAAGACGTTGGAGATCCCCATCCTGAAACCTTATGAGGAATTATCATGACAACGCTAAGCCTTGGTCTTCTTGAACTTCTCAATCTCTCTTCCCCTTCTTCACGCTTGTCGGGAAAATAGGGCAGCGCCTTGCGCCTGTTCTTTGCTCTAAGTCTTTACAGGACAAGGGGATTCACTAGCTGGGAGGCTGCCTATGGCGCATCTGTTGCCACCGTCTCCGTCGATAGCGAACAGAATACGGTCATCCGTCTCATTTCAGAATAGCTGGAGAGTCGATCCCGATCTCCTCGTTCAACTTTATCGTTGTTAGCCATGGATCCTCCACTCTCGGGCTACCAAGAACATTCACGGCCAGTATCATAGCGCAACATGCTTCTGGCATACTGGTGTTCTACAGCAATGAAATGTCTATGCCTCAAATCCGACCGTGCCTACACTGAAACACAGCGGATACTACTGGCAGTGGCGTTTGCCTGAAGCTCCGCAGTCGCGGTGAACCCAGCCGTTTCTTCTCCTCGATTGCGAGTCTCCAGTCTTTGACTCATAGCCATGTTGCTGTGACTGATCCCAGTGCTTTCCTTGTCAAATTCACGATTACGGTTAATAATCATAATCGACGTAGTTTGGAACATCAAGCCCCATTTCACGCAGATGCCCTGAACTGCGTCCATGGTGGAATGCCTGTGTCTTGATGCAGGTACATCGTTGAGTTAGTCATGATTGACGGTTTCTCTTTGGGACCGCTGTTATCGATCCGACTACGATTGACTAAAGTTATGAAGCCACTCGAATGATCAGCTGTTCCTGCCTAACAGCCAAGAAGGAAGGGTGGGAGAAGTGCATCAGAAATAAATTGGCTGTGGGAAGGGGGAAATTATTATCACCAATATCAGCGAATGAACAGACGCAGGATCGCTACCAAAAGTCGCACAATCAGGGTCCATTCGTGTCTTAACTGCTGCGCGACCTCCCGTGCTTCGTTCTATTCCTGATTGATCGAATCTGCTGCAAGAAAGGGCCCGTCGTCAGCATTTGCAGCCATAGCTTCTTAAGGGCGGAGTGGAGTTGGCCTCCAGGGGCGGCGATCCGACCTCTTAAGTCCGCCCCTTGCGTCGCAGTTCGTTCGAGTGCGAAAGCCCCCAATCAATGAGCCCACACAAGACTCTCGATCCAACATCGCCTCCCCAATATCGCCATTTTGAGTTGCATTGCATTGCATTGCATTGGCGTTGGGTACTCATTCCTGATCCTGACCTATGGCGGCGTGCAAAGGCTAAACCATCTGGGATTTTCGCATCAGCAGCACCAACCCCACGTACTCGTGCACGATACCGCCCATCCTTCCACTTTGGTCCAACGGCGGTGGCTTTCTGGGGAAGATGGGCCCTGCGACGAGGTGGGTGAGACCAGGCCCGGGCTTTTCCAGTCGTCCATTCTCAACTACGTCATTTTATTGATTCTCCCAGGCGCTGTACTACCAGCGCACTATTGGCTGGAAATCAAGATTCATGGTAAGAACTTCATTTACTCTTACTCTATGGTTATTGCCTTTGGCATTCAACTAGTTGTATCCAGCAAGCTAATGAACCGCCAGGGGGATCTCCAACTGACTTCTGAGGTCCTGAGTTTGTACCTGATCGAACGCCGCCAGAAACTTCTCAACCTCGAGTTACAAAGGGAACAAACCCTATGTCCTAGAAGAGAGAATGGGGCTGTTAAGATTCAAGGAACCTGAACCTAGTTAGTAAAATCATCCCCGACCACCGACTCAGGGCGCGTACTCCTGCCTAGTCTGTTGTTCCTTCTCCGACTCCGACCACACAATTATCCTTCTGACTGGAATGTGCAGCAGACAGTCCACCTAGAACCTAGCCATTCATATCACCCGTCACGGTTCATGCGCACACATCGCCTCCCACCGACCGACTTCTCTTCTCAGCTCGATCATCTCCGCGAAAAAAATCCTACCTACGTACATGGCATGCTTACACCAGCCCGACTATACCTACCACCTCTCTGGAACCATCAACATCTCAGTATTCTTTGTCCCTCCAAGCCCACTCGCGCACAAACCCATTCAGACATGGGGATCCTGATTTCCGAACCATCTAGTCCCGCTCATCAGTGCACGGACTTCGAATTTGACGCAGTGGAGATCATCGTAGATCCGTAGATCCTTTTAGGGTCGGAGATCGTCTGGCCCTTTTCTACACTCATTGTATAGTAGGTAAGTCCGTACTGTACATCCCGACCCGTACGTGCATGTCCAGGATAGGAACGGTGGGGGAGTGCGAAGTTTCTAGCGGTCGCAAGCGAGACAATTGCCATGAAAAACAGGTTTCTCCCCTTGTTTTTGACTTTTCTTGCTTTCTGGAAGCCCAGTCGGTGTGCTGTATATGTTCTGTAGGATCCATTTTGGTACCTACAGTATATTCTCTCGCCAATGAGTCAGCAGGGTTCGGTTTGGACTTGGTGGGGTCCACTGGTTGGTTGGTTGTATTCCACTGGGATGCATTGGGATGCGATGGTGTGTCACTACAGTTGGAGTGGAGTGTAACGCTGTAGTCTGGGGAAGATGCTTATCTGGTTAACGGTGGGGAAGAAGTTCAAGGTCACTTAGTGACTTTTACTGTTGTTGGTTTATTTCTACTTCTATGTCACGGTTCACTGTGTAGGGCAAACTGAGGCATTTACTAAGTGTCGTATCACAGTATAATTGGCATGGTGGGGGATGGGCCTGGTGGTGATGTACAGTCCCATACCCACTTTACTGAGCATTCATCTGTAGCACTGTACCTTTGGGAGTTCTCATGTTTCCTAGCCTTTCCAGGGTCTATGTTTGCAAGTATCTGATGGCCTCAGCCGTGACACTACTGGATATAGTACGCTGAGCATATATAGAGAATGTGTTTGTGTGTGAGGGTAGGTGGATAGGTAGGCAGGGTAGTATATGTCCGTTTCCAAGTACAGACTCCGTACAGTTTACCCATACAGCAATACATCCTGACCTTGGTGGAGTTATCCTTTATCGTCTGTAAGCCCTGTAGCCTCGCTCACTCTTGTTCTATTCATTCATCTATTTCAATTCCTCTTCCCACACGGTTCAGGTCTCTTGCGGTTGTCGGGGCATATCTGGGCCGCTAATGCCGTGATATATTTGCCGTTCTCCGGCAAACAATCAGGCCGATTTCTACGGTTCTGTGCTCCATCATGAGATAACTCATTCGTTTGAATGATGTTTCTTACGTGGTAACAATTCTTGACTTATAGCGTATGACTCTCTTTCTCGTGTTCTTCAAGTATGGACCTTCGCGCTGAATGGTTCCTGGTTGCTTGTCTGTCAATGGGCATCAACATGTGGGGGCCTATGTCGAGCACATGCCGAAACCGGAGTCTACTGGACGTTTACCTCAGCCAGTACAAAGTAAGTACCGAGACCTACTTCCTCATCCACACCAGTCTACCGAGAGGCCACTCTAGCAACCTCGAACTACACAAGTCCAACTTTCATACGTATCCGTCATCATTTGCAGAAAGAACAAAGGTCTCAAGAAGTATAAGTATAAGTAGAAGTAAAAGTCGAAGTAGAAGTGAAGATAACGTAGAACCAACGACCTGGTCTCGGCGCCCGACTATCGTCTTCGTCCCCCTAGACAGACAGTTCCACCATGTTCACAGGTCGAAGGATCGGACATCAAAGCAATAAAGTTGAAACCAAGATGGAAACCATAACACAAACACAAGGGGGACAACCCTGTACAAAAAGTGGTATCAAGTCTGTAAAGTAGGATCACCCTGTTCCCCAACGAAGAAGTGACAAACAGAGAAAGAGGGGGAAAAAAAATGAAAAGAATCGCAATAGTCAAAGCCCCGCCCGCCTCCTTCCTTCCCAGAGTTAGTACACAGTAGTCGCCAAGCACAAAACCAGATAAAAAGAGCAAATAAAGCACAAAGGGGAAGAAACAAGAACATGCAGGGTAGTGGATGGAAATCATGATTCAAGCAAAGAAAGAAGAGAAAAAAAAAAAAAAAACGCCGACCAATCTCTTTTTACCGTGAGTTCCCAATGTCATATTCACAAGTCTCTCAATGGAGTTAGGTGTGTAAGTAAGGTGAGAAGATGATGGGGTATGAAGTTGATGAAGAGTAAATAAATGATGAATCTGAACTCGAAGACCTCGAAGTAGGTGTGGTTGTGATGTGGCGGAGAAGATTGGGGTGGTTGTGAATGATATCGAGTATCGTCCAGGTGTCCAAACATAGCGAGGTCTGAGAGTTGGAAAGTAGAATGAAGGTGGAAAAAAAGGGTTCCAAGGATAAGTGCTTCACACTTATTCGCTTGTAGAGAAATATTAAGATCTGAAACGAGTACAGAGTTGAGCTCCAAGAGGCCGCAACTATTTCATGCCATTTTGCATCATATTCTGTTGCTGTTGTTGTTGCATCACTTGAGCTTGCATGGCAGCCACCTGAGAAGCACGTTGCTGTTGAGCTTGCTCCCGCTCCCGACGCATCAATTCTTGAACCCAGAGTTTGGCATTGCGTTCAAGCCCAGCTTGATACTGTTGTGCGATTTGCGGAGGATACGAGGCGGGCGGACCATACTGGGGCATTAGTCGGCTGGCCATTTCTTGTCTCAACCGCAGCAAGCGATTTTGGTATAGTTGATTGTATCGCTGGGCGATGGTGACACCCTGCGTCATGTTCACGCCTTGCATATTCTGCGGTAGATGGCCTCCATTCGCCTGGGCCGCGGCCATCAGCATTTGCTGTTGTTGAGGGTTCAGCTGCGGTCCGTTCTGATGCATTTGGCCCTGTTGCCCTTGCGCTTGTTGCCCTTGTGACTGTTGTTGCTGTTGCTGAGCCATTTGCATCTGTGCGAGCTGTGCACGCATCAACTGGGCTTGGTAGGCTTGCGGATTCGGGAACTTGGCTTGCTGCTGTTGCTGCTGCTGCTGTGGCTGTTGCTGCTGCTGGAAGTGCATTTGCATCTGCTGCGGCTGCTGCTGTTGTTGGTGGGCTTGGATATTCTGCTGTGCATGCGCATTCGCTTGCATTTGGGCCACCTTCGGCGAGAACTGACCGTGAAGCATACCCTGTTGGGCAAGGAGTTGATTTCTCTGCTGCATAAGCATTTGTTGCTGCTGCTGGGTTGTGAGGCCCATCCCGTTGTTCATTTGAGGGGTCGCCATCATGGTAGCCTGGTTCATGACTGGGGTAGGTGCCATGGTAGAATGGCTCGGACTGGCATGACTCATCCTCTGCGTCGGTGTTACATTTCGCATGATAGGCGTAGCGTGGGACATGGCAGGAGTGCCTTGAGTCATCTGTGGTGTTCCATGGCGGCTCTGTCCTTGCTGACTTCTGGAAGCTGCCATTGGATGGCTCATGGCGGGGTGCGCGTGCTGTATCACCGACGGTGGTCTCGAAGGACTTCCGGCACCCTGCATGGAAGACGTCATACTCATAGGAACCCCGGCTTGCGTTGTCCTTGTGCTGCCAACGACCGGTGATGATATGTGCTGAGGGGTCTGGTTGCGTACCACAGGAGATGACTGTGGCGCCTGACTGACACCATTTGATTGAGCCATGGCATGTCGAGTTTGTTGCTGCGCTGCCAATTGTGCCTGAGCTTGCTGCGCCGCGAGCTGTTGTCTTCGAGCTTCTTCCTTGGCATGCTCCTCGGCTTGTCGCAGTTCAGCAAGACGGCGCCGCTCCCTCTCTTGCTCCTGTTGCTGTCGCTTGGCCATCTCTTGCTTGACCTTGATCTCATGGTCTCGCTTCGCCTTCTCTTCGTGTTGCATACGGATGTTCTCAAGCGTCTTAAACCTCGAGAAGCGTGGCTCAAACGGCGCGCCACCACCAGTGTCATCGACAACAGCTGATTTTGGCCCACCGGCACCATTGGAGGCAGCTGGCTCCAGACGCTCATCCATGATGAGCATGAAACGCTCTTCCTCCGCTGCGAGAGCTTCGTCAGCGGCGAGTTCGGCCACAGTCCGCTTCCTGCGCTTGGGTGAAGGTGGTGGATCGCAATGAAGCGGGCTTTCCATTTGCTTCAACAGATCATGAACTCCATCAAGACTACTGACGGACCCGAGGTAGAGAGGGGGAGCCAATGCTCGCGTCAACCTGGCCTCACACTCTAAGAGATCCTGGGGTTCCACCAGCATCTTCTGTTTCTTCGCTGGAGGCGCACGATCTTGCTGGGAATTGACGGCCGCCCCCGGCCCAGGGGAAGATGGTGCTGTAGAAGAGGACCCTTGCGGGCGGGATGTCGAGCTGACTGCCGTCTGCTTGGCCGCTTTAGGATCAGGCGTAGTAGCGAGGAGAGTCAGCTCGGCTTGAAGCGAACGGGGCGTAGGGTGTAAGACAGTGGTAAACACTCGAGGTTTCGAAGGCTGTTTCAAATGATTGAGTTTCGAATCCTTCTGCGAAGCTTGCGAGTCCGAGTTGCCGGGCTGCTCACTGCCCGACTTGACATCCTGCTGGCTTTCCGAAGCCGCCTCCTTTGCGGAAGGCTTCTCCGAAGTTAATTGGTTCAGCTTCGGATAAGGTACATACGCGGATGGTGTGACGTGCTCGTTGTAATTATGTATAGAAAAGGGGGTGTTGTTGTCATTCGATGACGGCACGCTTGACTTCCGAGTCTGCTGCGACACCGATTTGTGATCCACCACGCGGACAATTAGACAGCCTGCTTGTCGCGTGACTAGTTAGCCGAGCACCTATCAAATTTGCCGTGTAGGGGCAAGAGCCTGCCTTCATAGAACCGAACATTGGCCCGCAACAGCTCCTCCATCATGTCATGGGGAACGGTTTGAGAGCGGATATGTTCGATGATGACCTTCATCTCCGAATTATAAGGAAAGCTCCCATCTTGCTGCTCAAAGCGGAAGTGGGTCGGATGGAGGTGGAGAATCAGCGAGGGAGGGTGCTTGGAGAACTTCTTGAGAATATATGACGTGGTTTTGACTATCGGAAACGCGGATCAACGTATTAGTATAACTGCAAGCGCATTCAGCGAGGCGACCGCGGAAGCTCACCGAAGGGCTCTGGACACCGCTTTCCTGCTCGGCGATCGCTATCAATTGACGAGGCCCTTGAAACTGGTTTCTGTAGCCGCCCGGCCTGCTCGCCGGCCTTGTGCGCTTCTTTCTTCGTCCGGTTCTGGGGGCCTTTGTTGGACAGTGCGCCCGCACTGGCCGTGCCATTGGCGCCGTTCGCCATGGGTGCGTTCGTGGAGCCTGCAGCAACCGGCGTTGCAGATCCTGCAAGATGCTTTGCTGTAGAAGAAGGGGAGGTTGAGGATTGTTGGGACTTGACACCGTTCATTCCGGTCTGAACGAAAGGCGGGGGAGGTCGCTTCATCTTAGGGGGATGCGAATTAGGCTTGGAGATTGCCGTCGCCATCCTGCGAGCAGGGAGCTAGCGACGCGACTAGAGGCGACGACGAGTGAATGCGACTGCGCGTTATGGGTGAAGTCGGAGGCGATGGGGGAAGGCCGTGAGTCGTCGTCGTCGATGGATACAGCCGGAGCGCGAGACATGTGGGGAGCGGAGGTCGGAGCGGCACGACAACGAAGGGGCCGGGATACGGACACTTTGGAACACAACGCGGAGTCGCTACAGAAAGTGAATCGGGGAGTCCATCGAACAGACACCTGCAGAAAGAGCAGGGGAGGTTCGAGAAAATTATATCGGGGGTGGTTTCAGGGCTGACCGTTTGGTTCTCTGCGTCAAGTGAGAGGGAGTTCGGTCCAGCCCAAGGCCGCGGACGACGTGAAGGAGGCTGGGTCAGGTGATATCCGCATCGGGTTAGCGCCGATTGGGGGTTTCCTCTATGATGTCTGTTTCAATGACCGGGCACGTTGATTCCATCTACAAAAATGAACCGTTGCAAGAGCATGAGAGCATAGCATTGATCATGCTGTACTGTATATATTCACATGAAAGCGACTGGCAGAAAGAATTCGCACATCATCATGGCAGGGGAATCAAACGAAAATGCAGAGAATCGTCAAAGTAGGGGAATTTGGCGGTAAAGCTATAGACTTACGAAGTGTCCATGACACTTCGGTTGTTCCAGTGAAACTGGCCGAGCCCGAAAGCTCCCTAATCAAAACCAGATACTCGTCGTCGCCAATCGTCGCCAACCCGGAGCGCATCGACCACATCGATGCGCTTCCCGAGCCCGGTGGTGCCCTCCTTCTGCCACCATTTCTCGCCCTTATCCGCCAAAGCCGACTCGTCATCGCTGTCGATCAGACCGCCGCGGCCACCTTCGTCTCCAACCACGACAACCACCTGTCTAACCCAGCCGGAAATGTGATGGACCGCCTCCCCGTCTTTTCCAGCCAAAGACTCTTGAACATACACAGTATCCGGGGAAATGTGTCGCACAAGATGCACGAAGCCAGTGGCAGTGCTAAAGGGCATGATTGCGTTTGGTTTCTCAACAAGAGCCTGAGCTTGCGTGTACAGGGTGCGAAATAACGGGGTGGTGCCCTCGTGCTCGTCCGTCGCACGAGACTCGCCCGACAGTTCACGGCTAGGTACCTCACCCGGCGATGTTGCTTCCTCCGGAGCAATATTGGAATAGGAAGAGGTGACAGACAAGGTAGGTGGAGAGGAGCCGCCTTGGCTCGGGGCATGCTTCAGGCCTGGCGCATAGATCATAATGAAAACACGGGTGGTATCGAGATTGACATGTTCTGGAAGGTGGGAAAGGATTGACTACAGGTACATTAGCGCGACGAGCTCAGATCATGCTTGCACTGCAGAACATACCGCATGCTGCGAGATAATCTCCTCAGGATCCACCCGAGGAGTTTCAGAGGACACCACAATCGCGATCGTCTTTCTCCTCTTATCGGTGGGAGCAGGGCCAGAGACGGCCTCGCGGGTAGTTGACGCAGCGCGTGCCGGCTGTTCTCTCCGATTGGCTCTGGATTCTACTTCTTCCGACCACCGTGAGTGGTCTTCAAAGTCTCCTCTATCCTCCTCCCGGATCGATGTGAGGGCTCCGCCGACGAAGGCTCCGGCCGCGGCCATTCCCGCAGCGACTCGCTTGCTGGCGCCGTCAAGTATCTGCTGGGGGCTGGGTGTTCGACGCAAGGCTCCCTGCATGCGTGCCATCATGCTGGCATCTTCGGGATGGCCGCCGTGGACATCTGTTGCTGTTGAGCGAGCATACATTCCCTCGTAGTCGCCGCCAGCAGGGTAAGCCTCGCTACCAGGACCCGGGGCGGGGAAAGGTTCATCGTCGCGGCGGCGATCGCGGTCATTGTCGTCATCGTCATCTTCGCTGCGTTCGCTCCAAATCCAAGCGGCAATGCCCACGGTCGCGATACCTACAGTCAGGGCAAGTGGCACCCAATAACCCAGAACGGTTCGTCTCCCCGAAGAGCTGAAACCCGTTCCGGCTCCGACCCGCCGACGGCGGGCATCCTGGGAATAAGGGAAAGACATCGGGATGGTTTTAAGTCAATGAGAAGAGACACGTAGACTCAGAAAAGTTCCATTTAGCTGAGCATCACATCTCAAGCTGGATGGAAGAAAGGGGCAGGCGCCAGGGTAGGCCGGGTGTTGGAATGAGAAAGGGATTAAGAGTAAGAAGCCGCGCGCGGGCTGGCCTCGGAGGGAGCAAGAAACATGTGGCTGGTGATGCTGGATTAACCGCGGGATGTTTTTGGCCAGTAACAGATAGTAAACTAGTCTACTCCGCCGGCGGGCGGATAACTTAGTGTGGAGGAGCAGTAGCAATCCGGGGCGCGAGGTTGACCAGAGATGCTGTCCTGAAGATTGCAACATGTGCATTGTTTGCATTGTATGCAACTGCCGCAGCCCGACCCGCGATTGCTGAGTCAGTCGATGCTAGTTATCGGCGCATGCTGGTGGGATTTTGGTTAACAAACGACCCTGACTCAAAGACCCAGCAAGAAGGAGTCTGATGATCTCGAGCTCGTCGACCTCTGGAACCCTTTGATACGCGGCCCAGACTACACATGCCCTAGAAGGCTCAAGCTTCAACTATACAAAACGCCTTCCTTGACGACGCCTGATACCCAAAAACTACCTTTCCCCTCCACCTTGCGTCAAACTTCCGTCGCAAAATTTGTATGGTTGACCAGCCGACTCTGTGAACCATACATCCTCTTCGAGTTCCCCGGACTTCTAAATCACCAAAACATTGCCCAAATTCCAATATGCCGCATTCAGTCCCAGTGCCCAACACGGGCATTCAAGCCCTGATTCTCTGCGGGCCTGGTGTGAGTTCGACTAAAGGAAACCAGGAAGCAAGCGCCTTACTGATCTGACTCCCATTTTAGGTCAGTCTGAATACCTTCACCTCGAATGAGGACTCTCCCAAGGCTCTTGTCCCGATCGCCAACAGGCCGATGATCTACTATCCACTAGACTGGTGTTATCGCATGGGAATTACAAGTCAGTGACTGCCATCAATTGCGCTGGGATTGCGCCCAAACAGTCTAACAATGCCAATCGGATGCAATAGATATCACAATCGTCACTCCTTCGGATATCAAACAGCCATTAGAAAGTGCCATGGGCACAAATCCATACTTGACCTCCCTTCCGTCCCCTTCCCCGTCGATCCTGTCGCCGCCCGACTTGACCATGACCACCGGAACTGCGGAATTGCTCCGCCTCCCCGAAGTCCAGTCATGTATCAAGTCCGACTTTCTGCTCCTTCCCTGTGACCTGATTTGCGATATTCCGGGAGAGTCCTTCATCGAAGCATGGATGGCACAAAGCGCGCTAGGGGGCTCCGATGGACCGAAGACCGTTGGGTTGGGAGGTGGCAGTCCTCGCGGTGGACTTGCAATGTTCTACCAGACCAAGGGTCAGGAAGAGAGCGTGAAGGGTGAGGCCACGGATTTCGTGGCTACCGTCCCCCTTGAGGAAAATGAGGCACCAGCTGTGTCTCACCCGCTGGACGGACCCGCTGCGCTGCGGTTTGGACTGTCCAAGCTGGCTCTCTCTATGCCGATGGACACATTGAAGGAGAACATGCAAGAGCAGAAGGGCTTGCTCATTCGGCACTCTCTGGTCAAGAAACACCCCCGGATCAAGCTACTTACCAGCTTCCGAGACGCAAACTGTTATCTTTTCCCGTACTGGGTATCCCAGTTCTCGCGCCTCAACGAGCCATTCGAGAGTATCAGTGAAGATCTTGTGGGATGGTGGGCAAAGGCAGGGTGGCAGACGGGGCTGGGAGAGAAGCTTCACTTGCGAGAGATTCTCCAGCCAGAGAACAAAGGAGAAAGCGGAAGCCAGGATGGAGATTCGTTAGAGGATGAGATCGATCTGAACTCCATGATCTCTACGAAATCGGGGGCTGCCGTCGCTCGTGAAGGGGCCTTCTCCGATGACATCCAGTTCGCCTCCCGCGTTCAGAACCCCGATGCCAAGGATGCAGACAGCGCAGAGTCGCTGCATGTTCCTCCGATCCTGGCATACATGCACTCTTCCAAAGCGTCGGCGCCATTGGTTAGACGCGTGGACAGCTCTGCTCTTCTCCTGAGCGTATCGCTGAAGCTGGCCAAGCTGGAAGCAATCGAGGAGGTCGGCCGCGTGGCCGCCTCTCCTTTCGCCCACAACCAGAAGATCAATGGCACATCGAATGTGGCGCAGAGGTGCACCGTCACCAAGGCTGACTGCTTGATCGACATGAACACTACCATCAACGAGAAGTCGGTAGTCAAGGAGAGCGTCATTGGAGCCAACTGCGTGATTGGAGTTGGCGCAAGACTGACGAGGTGTTTGGTCATGGATGGAGCCGTCATCGGAGAGCGTGCTCAACTGTCCGGCTGTATCATTGGCCGTAGAAGCAAGATCGGACGCGAGTGCGTCCTCAAGGACTGCGAGGTTCAGGACGGCAACGTGGTTGAAGATGATACTGAAGCGAAGAACGAGAAGTTCATGGTCTTCGAAGGTCTAGATGACGATCAGGATATGGATGGAGGTGACTATGAGGATGATCAGGATGACTTTTAGGTGAACCGCGCTTTGGCAGAAAGCAATAAAAGAGCAATAGAAATACTAATGATGTGATGACACTTTGGATGTCTGACGAGAAGATTTATTTGTTCTTTTTAGAATTATTGAGTCAGATGTCTCTCAGATATGAGGAAAAGAAAACAAACAAACAAACTGAAACTCAAAGGGCTACATCTTTTCTGCCTGATTGTAAAAAAAAAAAATTCAATCCTGACGAAAGAGAAGAACCAGAGCCAGAAGTCGCCTCCTAAGCTGAACTGATGTATGTGAGTGAGTGAAGTGAAGTGTATACAAAAAGTGCATCAAATAAGCAGACTGAGGTAAGTTAGGATGTGGAAGGTGCAGTGCAGTGCCAGATGTCCAGTGCAGTACTTCGCCGCCTCCGGCACAGACGGTGTCAGATAAACCAACCAACCGACCAAACAACTAACCAACCCCAAACTTCACTGCATCATCTCCCAATCCTCATCCCAGCCCTCGGATTCTTTGTTATAGCCGCATGCAAAAGGGCTGCTGAAGAATGGATGCTCGCCGGATTCCTCCCTCTGCCGCTTATCCTCTTCGTCAGTCAGATAGCACTGGAACATCCACTCCAACTCCTTCGTTTCGTTGTTAGTTCCCTTCTGTTCATCCAAATCCATCTTGTCGCCATCCGCAACCATGGTTCCAATCCCCTGCTGCTGCTGCTCGCCAAATTCCGAAAGACTGAAGCCGTCAACCGCAGCATCGGCCGTTCCTCCCAGACACACGTTCCGAAGACGAGCATCGGCACGGGGCTGGACAGCACCGCCGCCTCTACCCAAGCTCCTGGTTGAAATAGGCGAGCACGGCACAATAGTCGTATCATTCAGGAATCTCACAAATCGAGGACGCTTAGGCTCCGGCCCTGCCTTGGGTTCGGCTGCGGGCTTACCTGACTCGGCGACGACCGTCATCGGGGGGTTCGGATGCGCACTGGCAGCATTATTAGGACGGTTGTTACCAATGGGATTACCATCAACAGGCAAAGTGGACAAAACAGGGTATAGTTCCCGCACCGGACGTTTTCCGCGTCTGATCTCTCCGCTTCGTCTCTGCTGCATCATCACGGTGGGAGACGACATGAGGTTTGTCTGCGGGTCGTTTGTGTCATCTGGTACCGCTTCTGGGGCGTCGGAGCCGGTCGATGGAGTGGCATAGGATGCGAAGTCCTGGTCCTGCCAGTAGCTGTTCGCGTCGACGGGCTGTTTCAGCCAGGAGCGCCGGGTCACAGGGAGCGCGGGTGGACCCATGAGCCCTCCAGTTTGGGGACGAGGACGAGGCCCGCTGAGCGCCGGGGTCGACTGGGGAGTGTTGGACGGGCGTCTCATGCGAGCGGGTGGGAGCGCGGGCCTGGGCCTAGAGACGTTGAGGCGGGCAGAAGCAGGGTCGAAGAAGGGATCTTCGCGGCTCTGTGCGAGGTTTCTGTGGCCAGTCACGACGTCGGGGGAGTCCGGGTCTTGGGAAACTCCATGTGTGGAACTCTGGGGAGACTCACTGAACCCCGCGCTCTGAGGAGCATTCTGGATCGCTGGGGTGATGCCAAAGGGGATGTTCGGATCTGTGTATGAGATTATGGCAGGCGGCTGCTGAACGGTCCCATGGTTCAGTATCGGCATCGGCACATATGGACTTGGTGGATCATCGCTCTGTGCATGTGTATGTGTATGTGTGTCAGCAAACGTACCAGCCCCTGGACCACTGCCTTTCTTGGATGACTCGCAGAACTGACCTCGACAAATGCTGGCGCAGGAACCGTGCCAAAATGCTCCAGAAGTGTTCCCAGTGCCGATTCTCCAATCCCTGGTGTCTGATACTGAGGCCCTAAGACCAATCTCGCCGATTCCGTAGCCTCGTTCGCGACCACGATCGGCGGATGGGACTGTACTTCTCCCACACTCAAACCAGGCGGATGGGCAGCGACGTTATGAGGCTCCGTGTTCAACGTCGAGTAACCGGAGGCGGAAGAGATATTCATTGTGACGGCTTCCTGAGAGGTGCTTGCAGCAGGCCCGGCGACAGCAGCAGTGTCGACAACACACTGCCCCGATGACACCAGCACCGCCTGCAAGTACGCCTCTTCCTCCTGCCGATCCTCGAGGCTTCTTGGTCGGAGGTATCCCGGCTGCATCCAGCGGCCATGATCCCCCCTGGCGTAAAAGCGTGTCACGCTGTCAGTGAAACCCGGGTCTTGACGGGACATGCCAAGGATGGATTCCAACGACTGGATAGTAAAGAGCATTCTCTGTTCCAGGAACGTGTGCTTGATTGGGGGGTTACGACAAATCGGACAGGGACTTGCAATCGTCACGTTCCTGGCGGGTAGTTCCTGGTGATTTGGCATCTGGTGATAGGGACAGCCCTCTTTGAGGGCCCAGATATGTGTGCAGGAGTAGATGTGTATCTCCATTCGACACATCCTGAAGGTTGATATCCTGCGGTTTAAATGGGCCTCGGCGATGGCGTGTGTCTTTAACACGTCCAGATAGACTCCAGTGAAGCTCTTGCCGGTGGGGAATCACACTGTAGCAGATGACTTTGTAGAGCGACACGGCGTGTTGTGAGGTTGTGAGTTCATTCCCTCAGCGTCGCAAGCGGGTCTCCTTTTTGGGATCGTGGGTGCGCATAAAGCAGACTGGTATTTGGGATCGTGTGCGCGCGTAAAATTAGCCTATTTTATGCGCATATCCTGGGGGGTGAGGTGATATAGCCCTAGTGCAGGTGTAGAGAACCGGACTTTGATCTTGACAAGAGAGTGAATGGCGCTCATCAGCAGCAGTAGCAATATGAAGAGACCGCATGTTGTGACTTGTGATTTGCAGATGAGTTCGACGGATCTAGTATGTATGTAAGTATACTATCTCTTTATCAAGTGGTTAACAAGGCTGCATGTCCCAAACTGTATGAAGTTGATGCTGTACATGAAGTAGGTTATAGCTCGACAAGCTAAGTGTAAGTCACTGAACACTAGAAGCTCTAGATCCTTGAACATATGTACAAGGATTCTTTGATACTACTTATACTTCTACTGGTCTAGATAGTCATTGTTGATGATTATTTCTTGTTCATATACAACACTACAGCTATGCATGAGGACCTCTTGCTTGCAACTTTGATCTGTATAGCCCTTGAGATATCTCATGCCACAGTATGTCGAAGTATGCTCTGTATATGACATGCCAAGGTAACCTACAGATACAATATGCACAGCAAGATGCTGTATCTAGTACGTAATCACAAAAGAGCATGATTTACTAGAGGTGTAGATTGGTATGCAGTATTTCTTACTCCAAGAATCGGACGCGACTGCCAAGTACAGCAGAGAATAACTTACTAAAAAGGCAGATCTATGTACTATGCCTTACACCTGGAGATACTGATGGCCATGCAGCCTGAGAATTCATATTATGACAACTAATACTAACAGTGGAGCATGGCTTCCTAGAGATGCAGGTCAATGTACAGTACCTTGTAAGTGCCTATCTCATACTTTGGGGTACTCAATACCTGGCAGCCTGAGGGTTCATCTCTTTAGAATCATTAGAAACAATAATGCATAATCCTAGAGGTGCAGCTTGGTCCATTCGAACTTCAGCATTGCAGTGCCTGACAACCTGAGGATTAATCATCCTTTACAACCATACCATTATAGTTTTAATCGTGTAGAATGCACCAATCTCATCGAATATGTTCATGTCAAATTCAAAGCCTGGAACCTCAACATAGAACTTGAGCATAGAATCTAGAGCATAATCCATAGCCAAAGAGATTACAGCATAGCCCAAGACCCATCCATGACACCCTTCAAACTCACCAACATCCATCCCACCGTGCCGTAAGTTTAAACAACACTCCTCCCGACGATTCACCACGTTAGAGAGTTTAAGTTAAAGGAAGGCCCAAAGAAACCCGGGTACCCACCGGCACACACCCGTGTTTGCTGCAGCTCCACTAATTATGCTTCTTGTTTCGCGGGCGGTTCGATTTCATCCTTGTTTGGGGCAATTCCTCAGAATGACAAATAAGAGAGATTAAGGATTCCAGCCTGGGGTTGTGGGATGCATACGTATGTGCCGGAGGATATGATGGTAGTCGGAGATTGAGGAAGAAGATTTGGTTTTGTTTGTACCGTTGATGACGAGGGTGATGGTGATGGTGATGATATCAAGAAGATCTACGCTCCTTCCGGATCGGTTTAATGGCATGATACTCGTGATAGTTGTGTCAATGTTCCCGTCTTTATCGTCACTTAATTACTTCTTGAGGTGATTGCATTGGAATTATGGTTTGATTAGGTTGCTGCTGCTGCTCATGCTTCTGCGACTGCTTCTCCTTCTCTTGTGGACCCCGCAAGTGAAGTGGGTCAAGATCGGGCGGTTCATGTCTGAGATGTTGCTTGCCTGCCGTCTTTCAGTCTTTCTGACCCGGGATGTTCAATTTCAATAGGAAATATCTCATGTGTGTATGTCCGGTAGGTGTGTCTCAAGATTTTCGGGCCGGAAAAGTCGGGGAGATGTGGTTCTTTCCTCGTGCTTTGAAACACTTACGTAGGAACATACGAAACTTGACTCAGCGGACGACAGCCAGCAGGAGCAGATAAGCCAGCGAACCATTACCTACGCAACAACACATGCAATGCCCAATTCCGGGAGAGAGTTGGCGCCTGTCAGGTTTTACTCTCTCTCTCTCTCTCTCTCTTTCTTACTTCGGGATTGCTGAGGAGATCCCAATATCGATCGAAATATTCAGTGACAACGTCTGTCGCATACATGACTCGGAAATGTTCAAGGTTGACTGCCCCTCTCAAGCTCCCCCAAAAAAAGGTACCGTACGCGTGAGAGACTTTCAAAGCAACCATACAGATCACAGAAGCCACAATTCTTTTTTATTTCCCTCTGCCCATATGAGATGAAGATTTGATCGCCGTCCGCGTCTTAAAACCAAGTAGGAAGGAAGGTCAGGTCAGGTCAGCAGCCTAGCGGAAATGAATCCTTACGCGAACAAGTCAGCGAAAAACCCCGCTTGGTGGTTTTCCGATTGCAGCGACATGCAGATGGCGCTAGTGTGAGAGTGGATGACAATCGGTTTCTACTTACTTACAACAGAGGCAATGTACCGGTACGTTCTTACTGTACTTTGTTGTTGTTCGAGGGGGATGGGCTTGGGCTAATTCCAATGCTTGATGGACTTTTCGTCAAACTTTAGTTTGATTGCGAGCTGTGTTGATTGGGGGGGCTTTGAGCGGTGTCATCTCGCTCTGCTACTGTCATGACAGTAGTGTCCAGTATGAAATAAAATGCACACCTATAAGTTACTGTCTATTCGTCGGTCGCTCGGTAAACTCCAAAGTCAGGACCAGACAAGTGAGGGGACTTAGGTCAGATGACGGCCTGGAGGCGCGATGTGGTATGTACTGTACTACGACCCTATCAGGCTGGAGGGCGGTACTCCGGGGAGGGAAGGACGGTATAGTATTCGTAGTCGTAGTTAGGCAAGCTTATGGTGGCCATGTATACAGAACCTCCCCTGTTTCTCTACAAGAGAAAAAGTACCATGGTTTCTTCGTCATAACCGACGAAGACCAGGGGTAGGCTGCATCCTGGTGTGGTTCTTTAACCTCCGAGAACAATCATAGCGTGTTGGCCGCTAGGCTAATGTCCGGACAGATCAGAGGGGAAGGACTCCGTAGTCACCAAGCAATTAAGGCGTTTCAGGTATATCTCCGTGATGAGTAGGGCACACTGCTACGGAGTATTTGTTGGGCTGTTTGCAGCAGCAGCAGCAGCAATAATGTGCTCAGTATGCATAGTGATGTGTCCCTGCCTTGTCTCGGGCTTGTTCTGGGACCTTTTACTCCTTCTACTCCGTAATTTCACACATGTGGTCTACTGGAGAGGGGAACAGAGAGATATCTTAATCTCGACTGCATGGATACTGGCTGGGATTTTTATCTCCGTGCGGCCAATCAGACTGCCAGATAGTGGATGGAGGTTGCCCCTCCCTGCAGGTTGATTGTCGTTTCAATCTATTTGTTTATCTGAGCACGTTGAGACTAAACTTCCTGCAGTAGATGGACGCAAAAGCCTCCCCCTCTGCCCCAGACCAGGGTTGGGAAGTTTGCCACGAGTGGAGAAAGTAGCTCGCGGGTTGTGATTTTTCAGGGTTCATGACTCTTGGTGAGATGATGATGAGATCAGATGGCTTGGCTGGCGAGTGTTGGCGCGGGGACGTCCTGCATTTCAGGGTTCCGCTGGCTATAGGTATGTACTAGGTATACTAAGGCTTGAGTGACGGGATGCGATAGATAGCTGATAGCACCAAGGTAAGGTGGTAGCGATAAGAAGGATCTATCCGTGTGCGTGGGATATGTTGCCGACCGGTGCTTCGTGATTATACTCGTAAGTACTGCCTTGAAAAGAGAGACTTCTGGTAATGGTAGCAAAGGATTTGTAGGTTTTTTGCCCCCTTATAGCAGGCAGTTCTACTCGAACACATCATTGAAGAAACTCTGACCCAGTGAAACGAAATGCTTACCAGGCAGTCCTTGAGAAGCAGCAATACATCGACCAAGCTGAACATCATACATCGTAGCAATTGATTATAACGGACAACAGTCGCAGGAGTACCCCGACGCATCAAGCAGATTAACCCATGCAGTCAGTCAGCTTCGACTAAGTAATAATTGCCCGCAGCAGCTGCGACACCAGACTCTTACCATACACAATGACCCATGTCCCTGCCGGGGCTACTCCCTGCCTCTATGTCCCCTCCCCGGATTTCGTGAACCATTAGCCAGCCAGCCAATAGCTCCGACGGGCATATCGAAGCAATCAATTCCGACCAGTTCCCTGTCACCCGCGCCACCAGCAACCAATCGATAAACCTGGAGGATGTACCCCCCTCATTCCAGGACAATTGATTCGAATTCCTCGCTAGCTCGTTCACAAAATCCGGGGTCAATCTAGCCGGTCCAGGCCCCCCGACGACAGTTACTTAAACCTTTTTTTCCCTGTAGGTTTTTTTATCATGAGGGGAATATATGTATGGTACTCTACGTCCGGGGTCTCTTACCCCATCTTCCCATCATCATGAGCATGGATCTGTTCCTGGATGATGACTCGTACTCGGAAATATGACAGACAAACCAAACATCATCTCCCGACCTGCCATGTGAGATTTGCGTTTCCATTGGGAGGAGGGGGGGGGGGTTTAGATTTCGATCGTCCCCTGGATTCCGCGGTCAATGCTGGTTATCTTGCCTTGGCTGACTGGCTGGCTGCCTGTCTTTTCAGGCAACAGCTCCACTAAGTGCAGTACTGCATCCGCGGTTGCGGTTCAAGCCGATGATTTCTTATTTACTGGGTGGTGATTTGCGGATTTTGATCGTGTTTGGGGCGAAGAATGAAGTGACCGGAAATGCCCAAGCAAGGCACAAAAGCTCTATGACGGAGGTTGTGAGTACCTACCTACCATACTACGAGTAGGAGTATGTGCCG